AACAGAAGTATTTTGATGTGGCTATCAAACAGGAAATTATCGTAATATTATTTATATTTTATAAATTAAAATTTTAAAAAAAATTATATTTTTAAATATTTTTTAATTTTAAAAATACCTTAAATAATAAAAAATTTTAAATTTTAAATTTAAACTTTTCATAAATTTTTTTACTCATTTTTTATTCACTTTTTTTATTTTTAAAAATAATTTTAAATTTTTTTTAACAAAAATTTAAATTTATCATCATAAATAATATAATAAAAATGTTCAATAAAATACCCTAAGCAATCATTCAATTTGTTTTTTTTAATATTTTGTCATGGGACCAGCTCAAACCATTACCCTGAGAAAGGAAGACATGAATCTTACAAGCGTGATTAAAACCACTTAACCCGAAAAATCAGGTTCAATCATTCAATCCGTTAGTAACGTGTGGGTCATATATTTGTATATATTTTTTATATATTCCGTTCACGAAAACGAACTCTAATACTAATCCACAAAAGAGTTCGAAGTGCGTGTTCTTCTTTTTCCCGATGGGCGGCCCAACACGTTTTTCTAAATCTGAATCTCATGCCCCATAAAACTAATTAGTAATTACAGTCTGTCTCTTCTGGGGCTGGCCTTAACTGTTCAAGAAGGATTACGACAGCAAATAATCACGGAATGACTGCCCCACCATACCAGACAAGATGATCATCATTTTATACACAGAACCTTCGGGGAGAAGGGGTGGGGAGGGGGAGCGGTATTCTAGAATTAATTACTCTAACCTCTGGAATAACTGCTAAATCCTCATAGTTTTAAAAATTAAGAGTAAAATTTTTAATTAATCATATTATAATATTTAAAAATATTATAATTTAAATAATTATAAAACTTATCTTTCTTTTTTATCTCTTCCATTCCTTTCACACTAAACATAATTTAAGTTTAGCCCAACTCAATCCTCTCAATTTCATATAGTTGGTGTGCACCTTCTTGCCTCTAAAGAATTATAATTAGTGGTTTCGTGGAAGAGAGTATTGTTGAAGTCAGGTCAGAGATCCAATGAAATACAGCTGCTTAAATCCAAATTACACCACATAATGTTAATCAATTATAGAAAAAATCACCGCCTAATCTACAGCCTCCCTGATCAATTTTTTCTTGATGATTACATGTAAGGGGGTATGACGTCTAACACTAATGATGAGAGAAGTTGTTTACTTTGATTTGTGAACAAAATAGTGCCAATATCAAAATAAAAGACAAGATTTACATTACATTTTGTTACTGATGTTACTTGTTTGATTTTATTAATTATTTCAGCTCACAGTTTTATCCTAAAAAAGTCATCAAAGATCAATTTTTTTCTTCATGATAACATGTTAGGGGGTATTACGCTCAACACTAATGATGAGGGATGTTGTCTACTTTGATTTGTGAGCAAAATAATGCCAATATGTTAATATCAAGATAAAAGACATAATTTACATTACATTCTGTTAGCGATATTGCTTGTTTGATTTAATTAATTGTTTGAGCTCACAGTTTTAATCTTAGAAAAGTCATCAAAGATGCACAAAGAGAGATTTTGTCAATGTAAGGAGTTAATTATCTCCGTTTTATAACTTAGTAGTAGACATAACAAAATTATCAAGCTTAGAGCAGACGTCTATGAAGAGGGCAATTGTTTATTATCGGTCAAACATCCTCTAAATTTATCTAATTTCTTTAAAATGTTGGCAATGGCATTGACTTACACCATGTGAAAAATGTGAACTAGTCCAAACTTCTAAGAGAAACTCACTATAAATAGTGGAGATCCTTGAGAGCTTAAACCCAAGCCCAGCTTCTTCCTTAGCTATTCATCTTCTTCTCTTACTTACCGCTTGTTAACTGATTAGGCCATGGCTTCCAACAAGTTCAAGTTCTTATTTGGATTGGTTTTGCTTCTAATAGGCACGGCCTCTGCTCAGTTGTCCTCCAACTTTTACGCGACAACGTGCCCTAATGCACTCTCCATCATCAATAAAGCAGTGGTCTCTGCTGTATCAAAAGAGGCGCGCATGGGAGCATCCTTGCTTCGTCTTCATTTCCATGACTGCTTTGTTAATGCAAGTCATCTTTTTCTTCTTTCTCTTTATTTTCTTTCGCTAAAACCTTATTTAATTTCTCGCCTTAACTCGTTTTCAAACATTAATTTTTTGTTTGTGTCTTGCACGTTTTTGTGTAGGCATCTATTCATGTAACCATTTGTGTTACGTTAGAGTATTATTTTAATTTAATTTTTTTTATCTTGAATTATACAATAAAAAAATAACTCTTTCACATTTTTTAATCTGCTTCACTTATATATTTTGCAACTTAAACTTAATATTTTTTATTTTTAATAAAAAAAATTATCATTAAAGTACTTAAATTGTTAGCATTTAAAATTTTAAACTTATTTGTACATAATTGTGTACATATATGTAAAAATTTGAATCTCAAATCTTTTAAAATCCTAGCCAAAATGTCTTTATAATTATTCAACAAATATATCAAATACTTGGGAAATATATAATAAAAACTTTAGATCATTTTCTTTGTTTTGTCTATGTGATATGACTTTTTCTCATCATTTTTGCTTTCAGCCTCTGTTTAATTGAAGAAAAAGACTCTAGGATACCTAATCTTAGTAACTAAACACGCCTAATTGCCGACATAATAGTACTTAACAGGAAACGTATGTAGTTTTCTTTCTGAGGGGTTTTTATTCGTATATATATATATATTTTTTTTTGGTACATTTTTATTCGTATATTTAAGCATATACATACTTTCTATGTACTTTTTTTTGTTGGAAACTAATAAACTCTTGTTACATTAATATTGGAACAGGGATGCGATGCATCCATCCTCTTGGACGACACTTCAAATTTCACCGGAGAAAAGACGGCCGGTCCAAATAACAATTCCGTTAGGGGATACGAAGTCATAGACACCATTAAATCTCAGTTGGAGAGTTCATGCCCCGGCGTTGTCTCCTGTGCTGATATCGTCGCAGTTGCTGCTCGTGACTCCACTGTTGCTGTAAGGAAAAAAAAAAAAAGAACTATCTTTGATTGCTAAACTTCCTTCTGAATTCTGTTTTTAGATAATTAGTTTTTGATTCTTTTCTTTTTTGTGTTTCAGTTGAGTGGACCAAGTTGGACTGTTCTTTTAGGCAGAAGAGATTCAACCACAGCAAGCTTAAATACTGCTAATTCCGACATCCCTTCCCCACTCTTGAATCTTAGTGGCCTTATTACTGCCTTCTCCAACAAAGGTTTCAGTGCTAAAGAAATGGTTGCTCTTTCAGGTGTGCACCCTTTTATTTCTAGGTTTTCATGCTTGGACTGACATTAAAATTGGTCGGTCTAGACTTATATAACTAAACATTTGCAAGCGGATTTCAGGATCTCACACAATCGGACAAGCTAGGTGCACGGTCTTCCGAACCCGAATCTACAATGAGACCGACATTGATTCCAACTTTGCAAAATCACGGCAGGCAAATTGTCCCAGCACAAGTGGTAGTGGAGACAACAACCTTGCTCCTCTGGACACCACGAGCCCAACATCATTTGACAATGCATATTTCAAGAATTTGCAGAGCCAAAAGGGGCTATTGCACTCTGACCAACAGCTCTTCAGTGGCGGCTCTACAGATTCACAAGTAAACGCATACAGCACCAACGCGCAAACATTCAAGACAGACTTTGCAAATGCGATGGTGAAGATGGGGAATCTCAGCCCACTTACGGGTTCAAATGGCCAAATCAGGAAGAATTGTAGAAAAGTCAACTGAGTTTAGGCAGGCTCTGTTTCGGAATTGTCCTTTTCTGGTTAGGAATAAAAGTTGTTGACTTAAAATGTTATTTGTTTTTATTTTGGCCAAAACAATGTTGTTTGTGTGATTTCACAGCTTGATTATAAGCATAGTTGTCCCTACTTGCTATTGTTCAACAAGGAAATTGAAAGAAAAAGTCAGTTTTCTGTTTAAGGGTCATTATTTTTGCAGAATTTATAATTATGTATGGAGGAAACTATATATGGATAAAAAAATTGAGTTGACATTAATTTATATATAATTTCTATACACATTACTGATATAATTATTTATTTGAATGATCAAATATATTTATTTTTTATTGTATTTTTTAAAAATAATTATTTTTTTATTTAAAAATTCTACTTAATTATTTATAGTGTTAAAATGAATAATCATAATTTTATAAAAATAATATATATAATTTATATATAAATAAATCTAAACTCATAAAAATAAATGTATAAATAACTTAATAAGATGATTTAATAATTAAGAACTTAATATTCTAAGTTAGAGATCTTAAATTCAAATTTTAGATCAAGTAAAAAAAAAATTTTTTTAAATAAAATTATCTTTTTTTATATAATTTATGTATTAAAAAAATAAATATATAAACGAAATTTGTATTTACTTTTACTGTATAAAATTTGGGATATATATGTCAGCTTGTAATGCATTGGCATACATAGCTAAAGCTGTTAAAACTCAGGCAGCTTAGGTCTCCTAGGAGAACAGTAGCAAGCCTTTCTAAGTCAAGTTTCATGATGAATTTTGGACTGGATCAAAATTTGAAAAGAAGAGAATTATGACTCTCCGGCAAATTATAATAGTTCTTTTTCTTTTTCATTTCCTTTTTTTTTATTATTTACATTTGATGAGGCTACAAACAAGAAAATAATCCTTACATTTTTCAAATATGTTTAAACAAAATTTAAACTGAAAATTTTTAACTTAAAATTTAAATTTATTATCAATTGAGATATTGCTTTCAAAATAAATAGATTTTTTAATATAATAAGAGAATTAATTATTTAATATCATAATTTTTTACCTTAATCTTAATTAAAAAATTTAAATTAATAAATGTTAATTTAATAGACGGTAATATCCTCTTCTCTAAATCGAGAAAATTTGTCATTGGGAATTCTAGACAGGCCTACAACAAAGAGAAATCTTGTTTTAAACAGGCCCACGAACAAAGAACTCTTGAATCTAAACCGGGCTAGGTGCAGAACTAAAAGTTTCGGCCGGAGCCCAACCTCCTTAACCACAACTGATAATCATTTTGGTAATTATGACTTTGGACCTTCCAGGTTCTTTTTTTTTTTTTTAAAGATCAGCCCAAGAAAGGAATTTGGATCCCCTTTGCCAGACAGATAAAAATTTAGATAACTTTGTTGATATAATATTAAAATTTTGTTTGACAATATTTCTCACAAATCTTTTTTTTTTCCATATAGTAGTTTATTTAAAAATATAAATTTTATAATTTTTTTATTAATTTTAACTAATTTTTATATATTTTTATTAATTTTAATTGACATTTTATATATTTTTAATATTAAAAAAGATAAAAAAAACTTATAATTACAGTATAACGTAACACTGATAATAATAAACAAAACCCATGTAATCACTGATATAACAAGGAATTGATGACTCATCAATTGCCCACCTTAAATGTCGTTTTTTTTTCTAACATTAGAAATTAGTTGCTTGGTGTATACGATTTAAAATTATGATATTAACTGTAAATTAAGATTTTTAAATTAGTAAATATCACCTTAAATGTCATTTTTCTTTTATATTGAAAATTAATGACTTGGTGTTACAAGTTTAAACTTTTAAAATTGACTACAAATCAAAATTTTTACTTTTTTAGGTTAACAAACATTGATTCAATCAAATTTTTATTAATACCTCAAATGTCTATCTTTGAACATTAAAAAAAAAATAATCAATATTTTTAACCCAATAAATACTAAATTACCTAATTAAGTTCTTGTTGGTTCTCGAACATCTAACATTGAATATAAAAAAAAAGGAGAAAATTCAATATTTAAATCATTAACTTTGACTTTATAATCAATATTTGAAAGATAGTACGCATTAAGGATCAAATCGACTAACTCTCCATTCACGATATCATTGAACCTTTAGATATGATTATTAAAGTAAAGACTGTTTTGTTTCTAAATTTTAAGTCCAAGTTCAGCTCCTAAGACGATAATGAATAGGACAGAAATTAGTTTTGACTGCATGTCTCAAACGTGTGATTTCCTCCATAAATTCAATCTCATAATTGGAGAGGTACATCCCAACAGATCATGTAGGCCCTGGAGAGAGCACTTAAATACAAAAACCCCACATCTGTACTACTGAGAACCTTATCAAAAAAAAATAATAATAAATAGAAGATGTCACCTTTGTCAACGACTTTATCAACAATGTCGAAAGCGTGTTGGAAATGGCATCAAGCATCCCGGCCATGACTAAATTAATTACTCATATATAACAAATAATTTGGTAAAATCTCGCTTTCATTCCAACAGCTACTTTTGTGAAAAGTATAATTATTGATATATTATTTAATTTAATATATTTTATAATATATTTATTAAAAAATTATTATTTTTAAATTTAAATTTAAAATAATTTATTTTATAAAATTTAATAATTAAATTAATAAGTATTAATATATATTAAATTAAAAAAATTAAATAAATATATTAAATTAATAAATATATTAAATTAAAAATATATCTATCATTATCCTTATAAAAATTTATTTCCTTTAATTTAGGATGAACCATTTCTCCTAACCACTCTGGACCACGCCGGATGCTTCCACCATGCAGTTGATAATTGGGAATTCAGAGTATGAAGACAGGAAGATGCCTTCGTTGATCTCCTTTTTCTTTTTTCTTTTTTCTTTTTTTTTTTTTCTACTTTTTGGCTGCTCACCCATAACCCTTCTTAAATTAATTATTGCAATAAATGATTGAGATAACATTAAATAGCTGTTTTCACCTACTGTAGTCATTAAAACAAAATAAAATATGATTTGGAAAATGACCTGAATTATGTATGCATTACCATAACATACAACAAACCTGCATTTGCATTTGTTTTTCCATTTTTAGCAGAAATCTTTGAGTTTGACCCATGCTTGATTGAAGCTGAAATTAAATACAGGTTCTATATCTTTTTTTTCTCTTTTAATTTTTTTGAGCAATGAGAGATAATATTCTTTTTTGTTACCTACTGAGATTATATGTAGAATAATGATTCAAAATTATGACACCATACTCCCAATTATTCGCACCTAATCACTTTTTGTTTTCTTTTTTGTTTAACGGGTATGGTGTGCTTAGCTAGTTTACAAGCACTTTGAAACTAAAATATTTTTTAGAATAGTTAAATGTCAATTATCTACATTTAAATTAAAAAATTTATGAAAAAGTAATTTCTCTTTTTTTTTAATTGATTAATAAACAAAAATCCTTGTTAATTAAGTACCACTCTAACCTCAAAAATTAGATTAATTAAAAAATAAATATTATATTATAAATTAAATTTAAAATTTAAATATTAAATTAATATTTTAAAAAATTAATTTTTTTAAATATATCATATTAATATAAAGATATGTCTATAAAAATATTAATATTAAAATATATAAAAATTAATTTAAAAATATCCTTTCAAACAATAAAAAATAAATAAAAGCCGTCCTGGTCACTTAAAGTTGGCTCCTTATGCTCAAAAAAAAAGTTGGCTCCTTATGCTCAAAAAAAAAGTTGGCTCCTTACGGTGAGAACAAATTTTTTTCTTTTTTAAATGAAAGATTTCTTTAAAAAGCGG